TAGTGATAGAAGAGGCTATACATATATTTTTACCGAGAAGTTTATTCTCTCGATATTAACGAAGCTTGCATTTATACTTGTGCATTTATAATCGATTAGCAAATATGATATTACGTTATCGATATTATCTGCACGATGATAGCACACATTACTATGAACAGAAAGGAATCTGAATATTATTCCGGCATTTTTTGTGAGATGCTTATCAACCCTTGCTTAGTATCTCATTCTCAATTCGAATCCATTAGATTTCAAAATATCCGCATGTACTTTGGAATTAAATTATATTGTATTTTTTTTACTATTTATATAATTAAATCTAAGGGCATTACAAATTTAAAATAAAAATTGAGCAAATTAAAAGTAAAATGTGTAAATACCAATACCGTAAAAAGGAAAAGTTTAGTCATTCTGCAAAGCAAATAGATAGAGAAATAGTAATATAATAATATTTAATGAATTTGATTCATTAACAATTAAATACATCTACCGTATGGAATTGTATTATATCGGTCATCAATAGAATTTCAAAATCGAGAACATGATACAATTACGCGGCGCATTTGTAATCTACGATTTACGATGATATGAATTTCATATGCATGTATCAAAAAATATGATAATACAATTTTAATTGTAACATCAATATAAATAGTGGTATTAAACAAGGATCACAGTAATCGTCTTATTGGGGAAAAATGGCGGGATAATCACTCTCCCCAGCCTCTCTTAATTAGGAATCATTCATGTAGCAGATGGTATTGATATTATGACAATAAAGTTTAACCGCGAGTAACATCTGCACATAGAGATTTGGGTAGTTTCCTGAACGTCGCGAACGTTCCGTTTTACAGTGAATTGCAGAGTTGATTGCAAACTGATTAATGAGTTACGTCATGTGAACCGGAAGATTTAGCTATAGAATATCGACGGGTACTCAGGAATAACATTTAATTGAATCGCAAGCCGCGACCACAGTAGTTTCTATGACTATTATATCGAATTGTTTCTCGTAGTGTGGTAAAAGCAGAGTGTGATACGTTGAGTCAACAAAACTGTAAAAAAATAATAGCTCTACACTTTCGAAGATGAATCACAAAATATATTTAAACAAGAATTGCAGTTTCTGATTTATATTAATTGCACAGATAAAATATCGTTTTTTTTTTCCTTTCTTATATCTAATCTGTTAATATTCTATTATTTCACTAAAAAAGATTAACGATTTTTAACTTTCCATGGAAGTAAGTAATTATAATTCAACTGTCTCATGTTTGTTATATTATAATTATTATTTAGTATCACAGAGCATGAGAGTTGCAAGTTAGATTGAGAAGCTAGTGCGGTTTCTTGTGAAAAGCCCTTGGGGCTTTTGAGGAACTAAAACCACAGGCAATTAGAATTTAAACTATCTGTGTATATACATATAAACGTAAGGTGCACGCGGTTTCGAGTAAGAGCTTCGTGTTACACTAATCCTGTCTCTCTTATACTCCCGTGACCGCTACACGTGCGACCGCGAGTGTGTACACGTATATCAGGGTACATGCTTCAAAAGCAGCAACCCTAACAAGGCGTTTACCCTTTCTGGTCGCGTCGCCTTTACCGTCGAATTTGCGTTTCCTTTCGACGTCAACGAGAGCGTAGGAAGCACGTCAATAGATCCAACCTTGACTGCACAGAATCGAAGATGAGGATCTAAGATCCTGGCAGCTTAACATCCCCGAGAGTAACAGATTACAAAATAAACTTCCGATCTAACAGGCCGTATCCTCCGATAGTAAAATTGAATAATTACATTGATTATGCAAAACAGTATTTCTTGATTGCACGAGACCGTGCAGATGCATTCATGAAGCATCCGAGCAAAATAAGATTTACGTCTAATATATTTCTGAATTTATGTTTAAATTTTCATACATAAACGAGATAAGAAACACATGATTTTTAACTATTTATTTCAATATTGGTATATCTACGTATTTAGTTGTACCGGATATATTTCTATATTTATTACGAATGTTACCAAAAAAACACAATTGTGTTAGAGGCAGTTGCGCTTGCTTGCACAATTCGATCGCGAACCCTGTACACTTAAAAACACTAACTCTTGAACTCCATTTGTCATCAAATTGACAAAGCGCACAACTTATATCAGACAGACAACACGTCATCTGCACAAATTGTCTCTGTAAAACAGGTTGCTCTCTTTTTCGCCTGCGGCGGTGGAGATAGGTGAAGAGAACGAGTGCATTGCGGGCATTGTCATCCGCAGCTAACAATGTGACAGCTGCTAAAAAGAAAGGCTCGTTCCTGTCTCGCGGATATATACTCTCGCAAAGCTCGTTTTCTTTCGTTAAAGTGAACAAATTATCGACAGATTTAGCCGTTTGGAAGAGATACAAAGCTTATTAATTTAAATATTCTGCTTGCTCAAAGCATCAAATTAACATTTTCAATTTAATTTTCTTTTCGTAATTAACATTATTTTTAATTTAATTATGTTTCTCTGATCTATTAAATTATAAATTAACTAGATTTTATTTTTATGTTCTGGCAAAATAGAAGATTTATCAGCCAATCGTAAGACGTGATATATTTTTCGCGCAAAATATTTTCTATTTTCCTTTTTCTTCCCTTTCTACGGGCGATACGAAGGTCTATTTCCATTTTCGTACCTGAAACATACGATCCACTTTCTCGCGTACGCCTTGATGATTCAAGTTTGGATCAGCGAATTTTCCCATCAGCTCATATACCGCAGTCACAATGTCCGTCATCTCCTCCCTTGTGATACAACCGTCTCCGTTGATGTCGTAAAGAGAAAACGTCCAACGAAGTTTTTCGTCTATCGAGCCACGAGATAGTATGCTCAGGCCCGTAACAAAGTCCTGGAACACATAAAAAGCGGCATCGATCATAACAGCGTCACCGTGGAACATTTTCTGCGTTATGTACATGTGCGAGATATTCATATGCCGAGTTGCGTTACATTCGCTCCCTAAACGCAGGAAATATGTTTCACTTATTTTTAATTTTCTCCTCTTATTCGTCTCTCTCCAACGTTCGTTCGGGCATATATAAAATGATTAAATTTTCCACGCGAAGAAAGTTAGAATTGCGTTTAATGATAATTGAGCGAATAACGCTGATGGTGAGTGGTATATATATCGGTAAACTTTAGTGCCCGTCGGCTGAATTACGGCGCGGTGTAGAACTTAGAATGAAACGTACAGATGTGAACATACCACACGAGACTCGTGGCGGCGTATGCATTTGCAACTTGACGCTAAGTTATGTACGATCGAAAGATGCGATTTGCCACAAATTTATCGTGCGATGTTGCTTTCACTAGTAAGCAATTAGTAAAAAGGCATTTTTTATTTAAAAAATGGTTTATCAGAATAACGCAGAAGTTTTAAAAACCAATTAGATAAATAAAAATCCAGTAATTCAGCATTTCTTTTTTTATATCTTTTTTACAATAATGATTTTTTTTTAAAAACTTTAGATGTTATTGTTTAGAATCGTAGCGTTAAATATATTCTAAAGAATTACAATTTTAATTGTGATTAAAATATATACTCATTTGTTTAAGTATAATATAAAATACAAGTAGAAGCTTAAAGTTAGAATTAAGAGCTTAAATTCGGTTACGAAGCTTATTCTTTTACATTAATGCATTCACATTAACGTCATGCTAACGTGTTTATGCAAATTTTGGTCGTGCATAAAGGGCATCGTGATATAAAAAAGATTTGCAGGAGCTATTTTTCGAGAAATTTGCACGTACAAAAGCAATTTGGACACAAAGGGATGTTACATTTAATTGTGCAGTAATTGAGCAAATAACTGCGACAGCGTGTAATGTGTCGTCTCATAGGAGATAAACTATGCTATCAATCAACTAAGTTGCACCGTAGAAATCCCAGTCCGTATTAATATGTACGCGTATGAGCGTGAAACCGCGAGAAGTTTGTATTGCGTGGGATATAGACATATATCAGACGCGCATAAGTAAACCCGTAAGTAATAGAACTGGCGGCGTTATGTCCGTTTCGGGACAACAATTACTATGGAAATTCGTCTAGAATTTCGAATGCGATGACTGTAAGATAGAATAGAAGCTGCAGCATTTGCATTATGCCACTAACTTGAATTTACCACAGCGTGAGAAATGCATCAGCACATTTTCGCACTCGTGTACACTCGAGAATGGTTTTTATATAATTGCAATAAAACTACGATCACGATAGCGAGCCTGAAATTTATGCTTTTGTTTGCGACGATTGCTCGATGATTAAATCGTACGCCGAATTTTAATTATCTGTCCCGCGAAGCAAAGCGAATGGATGAAAACTCAGCAGAATACTTACGCCTTTTCGTCTCATTATAAGCGCTTTCTTTTGAATACAAAATTTTGCCTCGAGATAAAGTTTTGCTGCGTCATGCGAAACAGAAGTGCGAGTTTTATTCGCCGCGGTAATCTCTTAGATTCTTCCGAACGGATGCTTTATGGGAGAAGCCACTTTGCTAATTACATTTGGTAGGCTTCGAGTTCAATAAAATCAAATTAAAGCAATGAGGTGTGAGGTGAATCGATCAGATAACATATGTTAGAGCAAATTAAAAGACATCGGAATTGGAAAACATTGAATACCTATCTTCTACATCATATAAATTAATTTCGGTAATTAATACATAATAATCAATAACGTAATTATGGCAATACATAATTGCATTATGTGCAATAAATAAGTAAGGTTTTGAAAAAGATAAACGTATTATTATATCTATTTTTTTCTCGTAAATTTTAATTGCCAAACAAAAAATAATACGTAAATGTAACATTAAATGTGCATGCAAAGATGAAATACAGGATAGGCATATTAATATATCTTTTGCTTTATAATTTTAAAATTTCGTGTTCCTGGATAAAAAGTATGAACAGATGTTTCTATACATTAGGCCGAAAGTACTTTGTTATCGAAATAATGGATACAATAAATAATGGACACAAATAGATTTCAAATAATGACTGATTGTAGGTTTGTTCACGTCACGTGCCCCAACATGTTCCAATCTATAGTATTACATTACGTATACTCGTGAGATCAGATCAGATTGTTTCTTTCCACGATGTTGTGACCCTAGTGTTTTGATTCTGGGATAGTGTTTGTTTATCAGCATACTACGACCCACGAAAAGAAAAAGGGAAGAGGGTTTTAATGCAGGCCTCTGTACTTCAGTACAATAAGAGACAACGTACTTACAATCAAGTCAGTATGCTTGAGACAATTCAACCGAGCATATTAATATTGATTCATTGATTTACTGTAACAGTGTAAAGAATGTTTTCATTTGAAGAAAAGTGATATTCATCTTACGTATGATAAAATGTTCAGACATGTGTGAAAAATGATCGAGGACACTTTGAGCTTCTCTTGTAAACAAAAAACATACCCACCTGACACTTTTAAGTAAAGTCTTTATTTCATACTACTGTATTTGTGTTATTCGCGAGCTAATGTTCACATAGAAACATCTGTTCTTCCTTTTTATTCAGGAACGCTTTCACAAAATTTGAAAATATATTTACTCACTCTGTATAGGAGGAATTTTAATTAATATAAATGATGCAAAGAATGTGTGTGTGTATGTGTGTGTGGTGGGGGGGGGGGGAGAGCGCAGTGCTGTTATATCTCAATAATTGTATTTAAAATTATAAAATTATAAAATAAAAAGTATATTGCATTTAAAGTTCTATAATAGAAAATATATTGATTATTAGAACTAAAATGTCGCTTCTTTTGTTTGGTACAAATTGTAACACAGTACATATTATCCTGAATTTCATTAGTTGGTTAATGGTGTCTCTGCGCGCAAAAAGCGTATCTGTTGGTGCTGTTAGCCCAGCAAATTATATTAAGCGGCCACAAAGAATAAAATCAGCGAGATGAGGGAATAAAATGATGGCAGACGTTAAGTGACTAAAGTTAACAGAGCTTGGAGTTGGAGCGTGGAAAATCGAGAGACAGGATAAAAACTATATGTAGAGATTAAAACAGCGAAAAATACCATTTTTGAAAAAGCTTTCGTTCGCTAGTAATAATAATAATAATAATAATAATAATACTAGTTTACTATACTGTGACATTATCAAATCATTTATATAAAACGTAAAGAAAAAGGCACGAGTAGTACGAAAATTCTTAAAAAATATTTTTTAATGATTTTTTTTTTAAACATGGATGGAAACACGTGGAATCTTGTTACATAAAGATAAATTTCGATATTACGGCAAGAATCTTTATCACTAGTTGTTAGTAATTTAAGAAATTGCAGTCACTAATAAGCACGTGTCTCTATCCTTCCTGATATAACCGCGTGAAACAATGAAATATAAGCTACCATGCTTGGATGAAGTGAAAAAATGACGCGTTTCAAGGGAGTAGGAAATCGCCAAATGTTGTATAAATGCCTCTGGAAGGTCTAAGCCCTCTTTGGTATACATCATACTTGACGTCGCTTAATCTTACTTACAGCCGGAATCCACAGTTCACGCTTCGTATCATTCTGTCTGTTTACACGTTTATCCTGACTTCAAATCCTTCATACATTTCTCACAGAAAGCACTTGTAATCTCAATCTTTATCTTCTCCTAATCTTATAATTTCACTGTGATATTTTTCTCTTAAAAATATGTATATAATGCATACTAAACATTTTGTCAGTGTGTGTTACTGATACATACAGTTGTCATTTGTGTTATTATAAACGTTATTTCAATGTTTACAATAAATGATGAAATTTTGCGAATATTTAGAAGGTCGGAAAGTTTTTAAAATACTGAGAGTGCTCATGTCAAGCACAGCAAACTAAATGGACAGACTTTTACTCATAAAATCGCACGGTACTGTTAGGTATATATATACACGTTAATTAATATTGTATAAACGGAAGTACGTCATTATTACGAACAAAAAGAATGCTGTTGAAAATTTTATAAGTGAAGAGAGCTACAGTTGCAGCATTATTATTTTAATAAGTGAAAATTTAGACGTATAATTTATTGCTTTTACCAATCGTACTAGTTTAATCCACAGTGATAACACCGTATTATAATAATAACATTTTTATCTTATTAAGAGAAGAACGATTTAATAACCAGTGCTGTTTTGATCAAAAAAATGCTGTAACGATATTTAAGTGACTTTTAATATCAATACTTTTTACTAATTGAGATACTTTTTATAATTTCGAAAGTAATATTAAACTAGCCACTATGAATATTACGTACCGGTTTGCGTGAAGATGCGTTCAGCATAGCAGTAAATAAGCATTGCAACATCAATTAGGAAATGGAGGTTTGCAAATATATTTGCGCGTTTATATGGTTGACCTAATCCTAACGATAAACAATGAAACATCCGAATAAGTATCGATTGTTGATCCAGGTCATGATTATGTCGAGAGTCAGGAAATAGCAGTGGAATTCCGTTCAATTTATTGAGAATTACGGACAATGAATTACGGACATCAACGCATTTGAAGATCGCAATCGTTATTATTATTCAAATACGTATTTACTCAACTCTTAAAGTATATAATTTTGTTTTCTAGAATTTGCATTTGCAAAATTTTCAAGATTACAGTATGCTGTTTGCCTTTAGAAAATTTATAGTGCATTATATATTGAAATAAATTTTCAATAAATCTACTTAAAATCAACATGCTTAATGAAACGATCCCTAAGAGAATAGTAAAAAATTATAACAAGATTATTTTAATTACAAAATAATTTTTTTACCTTGTTCTTTCTTGTGATACTCAAATTAACGAAATATTTAAAACAAAAATATATGAATTATGTATGAATAAGTAACGAGAGAATATTTAGATTAGTAATGTACTTGTTAAAATCTTATTATTTTTTATTTTAAGCAACATTATAATTAAATTGTTTAGACAATAATGTAGCTAATTTTTGTATTGGTCATAAATACTGTTAGATATTGTTAAAATTTGGGACAAGTAAAACAATTTTGTGTATATATATATATATATATATATATATATATATATATATATACACATATACAATTTGTGGAAGATAGCACCGTTAAGGTTTACAGTTTCTCTCGAGACAAGATTCTCGCAGAAGATGAGATAATGAATCACTACTACAATCACGTCTCCGCACATTCTTGAAATCGTCAAATTTTCGCTGCTGGAATAAACTTCTAATTGGATGAGACTTAACTGGAAGGAATGAAAATTTGTCCTTTCTGCTTATAGACATTGAAATCGCCGCCGGCAATACGTCGAGAAATGAGATTAAAGAATCGATTAAAAGAGTAAATATTGTAGAAACATTCAATTCAATTAACGAAACTTTCATTAAAAGTTAAAATTGAATTACTTTCTTTAATTTTGCTTCGAAATAAACATACTTATTTTTGAAACATAATTTGACAATTTTTTTTGTCTGTACTGATATTGTGTATTATTTGTTCGTATTGTATATTTGATTCAACAATTTGCAAAATTGTTTCTAGATTATTCTTTAATTTTTACTCACTGCAATTTTCTATTATTACATAATTAAATTGATCTACGAAGAAAATAAGGGCTGTTCTCACACACTCATATGATATGATTTTCTTTTCTTAGTCGAATGTACAGAGATTTTCGATAATACTTTCTATTATTTTATTACATGAAATTAACACTTTTCAATAATAAACTAGAAAAATAATCTATGTGAATATATTTCTCTCATTTTTAAATTAATTTTTACATTATCGAATTTAAATGGAATTGTATATGACAGATATTCAAATGTTTTACACGAAAATGCTTTTCAACTGCTTGGCACAGATCCACATGTAAGCAGGAAGCATGCAAATCATTTTAACTAAAGTGTCATATTATTTCGGCCACCGTCGGTTAACATGTCTAATTAAATTTCTCACTTACTCAATGAATTGAATTGTTAGTTTTTTAATTAACAAGTAGAAGAAAAGAAGACCTGATACCTATTTTTAAAACCAAGCAATATATATTTTTATATATTTGGCTTTTTATTTATAAAGAAAATTAACAAAGTTTTTAATTAGTTAATTTAAAAATTCTGAAACACAATTTACATTCTAAATGATTTGCAAATCTCCATAATATCGTAAGTCCAGTATTAACGCAAAAGAAACTTGTTATATTTACATAGTGATGTCTTCCAAAACTTTTTACATACAAGAAGAAACTTTCAATTTTTCTGTCTTAAGTTATAATTCTATGTCCGCTGATTATTTGATACACAATATTAGTATATAAAATATTGTGATAGATAAATCATTACTTATTTACGCTCCGTGATTGATTATGCTAACAATATTACTTATTTTTCAAAGTACGCAAATACGCTCGTAAAGTTGAATCGCAATTACTTTTTAAAATTCTATGAGGATCACCTTATTAAAGCGCGGCTATATCCGCGGGGAATGTTGCAACGCCAGAAAGTGAAGAAGATAAGGATCCGTCGCAGAATGAGTCATATTAAAAAAAAGAGAGAGAAAGAGAAAGAGTGGCTTGTGAGAAATGATATCACAGTTAATTAAAAGTTCCGGTGACGCTTATTCTCCCATTCTACTCCGCTTGAAACAGATTTAGTCATAACGTATGTATTTTTTTAAAACACAGATGCTAACAACGCTTTTTTATAATGTCGCATGCAACGTTGTAGCCAAATAATTTTTGTCATCGCTGCAGTTTATAATTTTGACTTTAGCTTGGCATGCTGAACGCAATTAAAACGTGTATTCTGACAAAAATTAGAATTTTTAGTGGTTATTTGTTGCAAAAGAAATTTTATAGCGACCAACTGTTCGGTATCCCAATATGAAATATCCAAGGTCGTAGTAGATCTCGTTTATCGCGTTGGTTCATAACAGATGCCGTTAATTTATTACCGCGCGGTACGCTGCATATAAATTTCGACGCAAGGTTATACTTTATACTTTTAGAAATATAACATTAACTTGTGCAATTTTTGAAAAGCACTTATATTTAATTGGTATTTCGCGGATATTGATTTTGAAATTAAATACATATATAAATATTAAATATATAAATCGTAATAAGGAAACCTTCTATATATAAATAAATCTATATTCTAGTCGGAATTTAAGAGAAATTATTGACAATTTTAGCGAGATTGGTTTTGAGAAATTTTCGCGATAGAAATTTAACCGATGAGAATGCTACACATGCACTTGTCGATAGTAATGCGATTAAATCTTACGGTCACCGGATTCCTCGTCGTCACCTAAAGGGAGCGATGAGGAAGCGGAGAGAAAGAATAAGGGACAGCCGAAGGAACCTCGAAGATGGAGGAGTCTTGTTGCCCATGCGTCGAGAGCAAGTGCACTCGAATAAAGTATTATCTCGGGAAAGAAGGAATGGTAATCCTCCTCTCGCGCGCTCGCAGAGTGAACATGTAATACGATTGAAGTTACAATAGAGGCCTTCGTATGTTCGTAGTAATACAAATAGAATTCGAGAAATGAAAGAAGATGATATACATTATAACACGGGAATAAAGGAGCCGTTCATTCCTTGAATCATCTAGAGAAGTTCTGGATTAACGATGCAAACGCGATTCTACGTTCTTTAGCTATTGAAAAAAAGTCGGTAAAAGACATTTCTCTCTCTTTTAGCTTCTTTTACAACGTTTATTTTAAAATACTACAATGGATATTGTTACGTTCATACGTTTGTGATATTATAGCATTTTAAATAAACAACAAAATTTTCTTCTTTTTTTCTCTTCTTTTTAATAAAAAATATAAAAATTTGATAATGGATTTCTATCCAACCAAAACATTTTACTGCAATAAAAATTATCCAAATTTAAAACCTCTTATACTCAAGATATCATTCTATTATATTATAATTCTACTGTCGCCGCCGACGTGAAAATTATCCGAGATCAAAGCACATGTGATAACAACTCGTGTATGTAGTTAATATATTCGCGCTAACTTTTCGTCATTAGAGTCCCTCGACATGGATGAAATCTGACTGAAAGTTTGTCGCATACAGGTCAATGGGGAACACGTCCAGAGATTCCTGTGGGATAACTTAATTAAAGATGAGTAAATATCAAAGGTTAAGGTTAAACAATTTTATCACTATGTAAAAAAAAAAAAGATGACGGAAAGTTTGCATTCGGATCTAACTATTCTCCGGCAGGGATAAGAGCACGACGATACCAATTATACAAAGCACAATTCCATCTCAATGGGCCGGAAAGCAATTGCATTATCTGCTAATTATTCCGCTATGACTTCCGCCTCCGTGACTTCCTTTCTTCCACTTTCTTCTTTAGACCTTCAATATCCCCGACAGGTCGCAATATCGTCTTCGTCTGCAAATTGACTTTGGCACTTGAATTGAGTAGCGGCGAATGATTGAACTGTCACTCGGTAAATTTAATTAAATGCACGTTGAACATTTGTGCTGTATCTAATTAGCTTACTTAGTCTGCAATTATGTTTATTTGGAATATGACGCGCGTGTTAGTCTTTTAATTATGTATCGATTACAATAGTAGTCGCAGTAATTGAATTTTATCAGTAAAGTTGTGTTAAATATTGAACAATGCAATCAGATAAACTTTGCCGTGCACTATCTATTTATGTATATTGTTTTACTCCAAAATATTATAGAATACTAATTGATATATTATATACTCTTCCCATTAATTAAATAGTGCTGAGTAGGTATTAAGTTAATTGCATTATTTATTCTCAACTGTTTTATTGAATTACTTCTTTAGTACTTTAATTACCGCTAGTCGTTTGTACATGTGTGTGTGTGCGTGTGTGTGTATGTATGTGAAATGTGGTTAAGCGGTCACTCTTCAATTTAGTCGCTTTCTGTCCAATGAATCCAATTAAATAACGATTTCAATTGTAACATAAAGTATTAGACAAGATTTTTATTAAGAAATTTATAGATAAAAAAGAAAGTACAAAACTGATCCATATAAAGAATTTTTTTAATTAACGGTACAAATTTTAGAGAAATTGTTATCACATGTGCTTTGATCACGTTAAACACTTGAAGCCGTGAATATTATTCAGCAATTTTCATATTGCTTCATTCTACGATACGTATGTATATTGTGACACACACGTTTTGCCTCGTGTACTATCATATTAATTTGCATTAAATTGACCCGAAGAGTTAAATATAGAGTGTGAGATTGATAGCGTGAAATTTTATGCATAAAATCGACTTTCAAAGTAATATGCTAAACACAAACAATCTCAGAGAATACAGAGAAAGGCAGACTGGCAGAAGAAAGAATTAAGTGTCACTTTATATCGCAAAAGTGATTCCGCAACGTAAAATAAAACTAATGCATATGAAGGCCATTGTGTGTACACAATGCTATTACATTTTATTAAAAATGATTGAAAATTACATATGCAATGCATAAACTTACCTCGAAGCTGAGAAGCCCGCTGTGATCCTGGTCCAAAGTATTAAAAACGTAATGCGCATACTGGCTTGTATTAGCTAGAAGAAAGAAAAACAGACATGTAAATTACTTCTTTATACGTCTCTACATATACATAGATATACATATTTTATTATAATTCTAGATTTTCTTATATTTGTCAAAATTGTGATAGCAATACTAAAGCATTTATGTATTAGTACCTATAATTATATGTGCGTTATATAAATGCAATATAAAAGTAAATTTATTCGAATTTGGTTTAAAAACGAAAAGAAATTCGCACTAGAGATATCAAGCACATATAATGAGTAATAATTAAATGTTTCCATTAATTAGTCTTTGTTGAAACCAAGAATACTTATTCGTTCTTTTCGTAAAACAGAAGCGTATCGCTAATAAAAGCATTTCAATCTTGCAATAGTTACACATGCAATGGACTTGAACGAAAGCCTACAAAAGACCGTCGAATCTATTGTGGACTCGTAAACTGAATATCCATCGGCGTGTGTTAATAATTTCCAGTCGAGATAACGCGAATGCCTCAGATTTAAAGCGCTGATTTATACAGGCCGGAAATTATCACACCATATATATTTATGCTGTACCGGTTGCCTTTTACTGTCTTCGATAAAATTTATCACGTAAAGATTTTACGAAAAGAACCAGGTATATACGAGTATGTCAAAAAGTAAAAGAACATTTAAGGAGTAAAATGTAAGTCAAAATGAATGGTCATTGAAATGTAGGTCATTTTAAAGAACTTTTTTTAATGAAAAAAACTCTCTTTACTTGTTACTCCCTTTACTTTCCCTCGCACTACGTTTTATAACGCAATATCTTATCAAGACTTTTAAACGGAACATATACAATTTTTGGGAAAAAGCTATATATTTGTGGCTTAAAAAAGATAAGCTACATATTTGGTTTTAACAACTTATATTTATGAATTGTTAAAGATTAAGAAAAATATTTTTAACATAATTGCGATTTTAACAATATTTTAACAATATTTTAACAATAATTGCAATTAAAAATAAAAATTATCATTGTGCATTACTATGTGGATTATAATTACTAAGAGCTGTCTCACAATGAAAAGCATGTTTTCGAACAGTAGGTAAAACTGTGGTAAACGTCAAACTCTCCAGCTTTTCATTTAAGTAAGAACTATAGGTCTGAATTCATCGAAAGGATTTACTTGAAAATTTCTAACAGTTCCTATCATACTTTAGACATACTGAATTACGTCATCGGGAGTTTATCGTGAAAGACCGGGATATAAAGCGTTACTAACTTGTCAAAGTTCGGTAGCGTTCTGAGAACTACGTGTTCTTGGGAAACGTGCCCGATTGTGGGGCAATTGTAGAATTTGAAAATTAGTTTTCTTCACTTTGAAGAGTCCGCGATTCAAGTAATATATAGTTAGAACAACGTACCAATACTTTGAAGTATGTACAGAAGATATTTGATATATGTACATATACTACCGCGAGAAGTTTAATTTGTATAAAAATTTGCGTTTCTGCTATACAAAAAATTTCTGCTGTGGAATACATTTATACATTAGTTTTTCCACCCACAGCGTTTTATTTCAAAAAAGTATTTTAAAAATTTTATCTGTACTTTTTTTTAACATTGATCCGCGAGAGACAAACCGCGCTAGAAACTAAATTATAATTTTATCTCAACAAAAATAGCTATTTTACACAAATTTATAATTCTCGATAATTTTTAACATATCCTTTTGTAGTTCAGAAATCCAGTAAGATTTTGTGTTGCATACTAATGCTAAAGAATATAAACCACGGTGGGATGATTCGCGTATATGTACAACCACCACTAGTTCAATAGTTCCGGACCGTCCTCGGAGAATTGCCAAGCTACAGTCTCCGGGTGAAGGGTCACGTATTTCACACCTTGCATCATATATATGTACAAATCCTGCATGCGCGTGGTATATATGCGGTAACTTTGAGTCAATATATAAGACACGTTAAATTCTCTGTATATCTTATCAACAACATATTTCGCGCAAAAGGGAAGTACAAGATACTACAAGAAATAAGATAAGACTTATTATTTCTAAAATTGTAAATACTTTTTTATTGCGGTTGACTTTTTTATCGCAGTTTTATTTTATAGCCGATCGAACGCAAACATTGATAAATATTGCGTAAACTAAAACGTGTTGTGTTTTACGATATTGCTTCATTAGCATTGCATATCGAGATGTTTTTTAAAAAGTGCTGATAAAATATAAATTATATAAGTAATAGCTGGAATTTCTCTTTGCATAAATATCTGTACTCATACAATGTTCATTTGAGACAGCTGTTTAAATAAATGCGTATTATAATAATAAACGATGATACGTGACGCAAATAAAAAGAAATCTACTTTGGAAGCGGAAGTTTTCGCGAATCGCTCAGTATGAACTAACAAGTTGGAATCGTGAATCGTTATCTTGGAGGAATGAGATTTATCGCTATACCGTAATTCACCTGTTCGACTTTTGACTGTCGAGGCAGATCTCTGTAACATCCCTTTATTGTGCCGACCCCGTATTCGATATCAGAGGTATAAATTTCACGTGCTGAACTATACGTGCGGATTTCGACTTCCCTCTTGGGTTTTGCCAGAGGGGTTTTAGATAAGTATAAACATGCCTACCCTTGATAAAAGACACAATTCGCCAAGAAAGATTCTATCGACCATTTATTGGAACAATTCTGATAACCATTTGAAACATTCCTCTGTTTTAAATTACACGTGTATGCGTAAAAATAAGCTGACGATTAAATTTACAAAGAACAAAGATACTTTCATGAAATTTTAACATTTTTAAGATAGAAGAATTTAAATTAAACATTTGTGTGGATTTTATGAATCTTGTATTAAAGTATCCTGGGTTTTTCTTTGTTGAAACAAAAGCACACGAATTATAAAAATCTCCGCTGGCGAAACATCTAAAGTAGCGTGCCCAATGCGAATGGGACTTTAATTAAAACCTTGAATTTAATGACCGTGTTCTATATTCTCCCTGCTTGCTCGACTGTTCGATTTATACTAAATTAACAAAACGCAGTAAATAAACCTACAAGATGATTCTTTTGCAATTTAGGAGAAGTAAAATCGTTATGGATATCCCGTTTCTTTTTCGCGAAGCAAAATTCAACACAGGAAATTTATAATTAATTTTCTATACATTATATTCTTTCTATTTAATTTTAATAATTTTTAATATATATGTTAGGAAGATATTTATGTTTTCTCGTCATACATTTTATCTGCATAGACTACGCTTTTTATTGAACGAACATTCTGGATTATGGAAAGCCTTTAAATTCCCGTTCAACACATTTTCAATATTTCTTATATTTCTCCGGGGACAGCTTTGCTTGGATAATGCCGTATTTATTTCTCTGATGGTACACATGCTTTTCAGAGAATAAGGACATAAATTGCTGTAAATCGTAAAATAGTAGGCATTGAAGATGGACGGGTATGTGAACCGTCGTCTATTCACTACAAGAGATTTTTTCAAGGATTTTGGGTTCGATCGCTCGTAAATTCGCATTCGATCTGCCTTTTACGTCGAGCGACAAACAAATCATGATATCGATGTGCTTGGGTGTGAATTTCCAGCGAGAAATTTGTCGATGGCAGGAAGGTTTAAGCGCCTCGCGATACTTCAGACGTTTATGAGTACTCCGTCCGTTGCTTCTCTTTTTTTACATCGTGATACGCTATTGACGCGAATGGTCGCGCTACAAACATTTTGTGTCTTGAAAAGACAATTTTTAACATATATTTCGTATATAGTAATACTGTGAGATCTCGGTTTATATTTTCAATTATCTTAATTTTTGTTAATAAATAGAGATAGAAATAGAAAAATATAAATTCGTAAAATTGTACAATAATTGATTTTATTTTAATTAAATACAGTTAACTAAAAAATTTGTTAATTATAAAAAAATCAATTATAAATGTTTAGTGTGATGAAGTACTTAATATCATCTTATATTACGGTGAAGTTAATTGATTTTAATTAAAATGTGGTGCGACGGGCGTAATTTTCGAAAATGTGAATTTCATCGCGTTAATGCGCGGAACGCGTGTAATCGTGGATAACCATATCTCTCATGCGGATGAATAAAAGGGAACGTTTGAAACGCAGTGCCATTTTGATCCGGGAATTCGTTACCATGGCTACTGCAACCGCGCTCAGCGAAGGGCTGTAGTTATCCCAGTTGTTGGATTGTTCTCTTTCCCTCTTCATGTTGACGTTCTTCGACGCATCCCCGATGCTGCCGTCGCAACGAGGAAATTTAAATGCGAATAAATGCGCGGCGAATAAATAAACTGGTCGGTGTATATCCGCGGCCGTTCTTTTTATAAAATAAACGTTTCTTTGGTTCCCACGGAATTCTTCCGTGGGAAGAATGTGTTCGAGAAAATTTTGCGTTTATCAAAAAACGTATATCTAGGAGGAGCGAAAGAAGATAACTCGGAATGCTATTGTTGTTAATTACAAATTCCATTGCTGGATATGTTGAACCATGTGCAGGATATTGTGTGCACAGAGTAAATGTAGAATATGAAGCAAGCATAAAATATGGATACTTTTCCTTGCCATTTCATTTCAAGTTATGATAATTACAACAAATAATAAATGTTTCTTGTCTCAGAACAACCGTGTTATTCTGGAACTCTGACTTTTTAATCTAAAGTGATACAAAATATACGCGTCTTCTACATATATTTGACTACGTTGTAGAACGCGCTACTCCCATGGCATCTACTTCGTGATGTAGTGTGTCCGCATTTTTCGATGAAAAGAGAGAATTCTATTAACCGAAATATATAATGCACATACCACATAAAAATATAAAAGTAATAATTTTGTTGCTCTCTTTTTCGTCGCAGTTTTAAGTAATAAAATATGTTGATGTATTGTAACTTTCCTTGATAACTTTTTTAGTTAAAAACAAAGAAATAAAATTTCTTCGTTAGAATTCTCGCATTGTGAAGCATTTATCATGACAGAAATATTGCTATATCTAAAATCTGACCTCACCTCCTTGGGGAAAGAACTGCGAATAGATGCACTTGAAAGTTTCCTCTCTGACGACTCCCGTAGGACATTCAGCCTTGAATCCGCGATATATCCTCTTCAGCTCGGCCTCCGTGAATCTGGTCGCTCGACAAAGGCTTGCCAAAGAGTCTGGTCTATATCTTGGTGTTTGCTCTTCTTCGTATTCCGAGTCTGCGAAGCAAAAGCGGAACGTACTCGTGTTAATCGCGGAAAAGAGATCGGTAAATTCCTTTCGTGTATCACGAATCCATTGGACTGGCGGAAAGCTCTAACAAGATTAAAGAACTTTGAAAGCTTAAGACGAAAAGCTAGGTTTTACCAAGGTACTATAAGGTAGATACGAGTAGCAAAACTATCGATGTGATGTTTACAAAAACGGACGAGAAATCTATTGCTTGTGGAAAATTTACGTTGTATTGCAAACTATATAAGCACAGTTTTCAAACAATTACACTTTAATTTGTCTAAACTATTGGAACAAATAAAGAAATTTAAATCCTTTCAGCTATTTCTAACTCATTTTGTACTTAAAAAGAAAATTTAATATTGTTTAAAAAATTTGTATGTATGTCACAAACATACAAATACGTGGAAAAATGAAATTCTCAAAATTGCAAGATAAATGAATAACGCAAATCAAATACGAGAATAGTGCACAAAATTCATATTAAAATAATCCCAGATTGACACACTTATCTTTTTCAGCCTTTTTTTTGTTGCACAATTCAATAGAACGCAGTATCACTTTACTGCTACTATTTTGGTTTTTACTTTTTTTTTCAATGTGCAATACATCAATCGTTACTGTTATCTATAAAGCCTGTATCCGGTGATACTGTAATCGCGAGCAGAGATCTGAGATTGAATTGCAAGATTCCAAACTTTCGCGTGATACAGCAATCGTCTCTGCGATTCCTGTCGTGTCACGTTGAAGTTTTAAATCGCATGCATTTTTCTGTTTGATTTTGTGGAAAAAAAATGCATAGAATACGGTAAATTTTAAAGTTATAATTTGTTTATCTGATCATTACAAAAACCATCATTTCAGAAATGTGCGCAAGTTTCAGGCACATTATATGTACAAGCAAATGTATGAGTTGGCGGAGTCCATTTAACTTTGGTGTCTACCGGGGGTTAGCGATATTTACTTTAACTTGAGAAGATTATGTTTGAGAACAAGACATTATGGCTTTGAGAACAAAACACTGTTAAGTAGATATCCAATTTCCTTATTTAATAGCGAATCATAAATTTTATAACTTTTTCAATTAGAATTCTATTCATTAATCGGCGTAGTGACAATTGCGCAGACTTTTTCAAATTAACGTCTACGAAAGTAGGAGAGAAAGAGTGACGAAACACACGCTATCTCGCCAGGTGGAAAACCTGGCACTGCAATTCATAAAGTTCCGCTTGCTCGTGAGATGTACGTGAGTGGCAGTACTGCATTACTGCACCTTATTTCCCACGGGATGGTCCTCTTTATCCCAGGAAGAATCCGTCGAACCTCCAAGAAACCTCAACGTGAAACGACCTTCGGTAGAGTAAAGTACAGCGTTTATGAGACCGCTACAAGAGGCAGCGAGACGCGAGCGACCACGATAGTGCTCCACGAGATTTTGTAAAAATTGCCCTTCCTTGTAGTTTGAAAGCGCGCCATCCGTTCTATATCACATGTGGTTCATACAATATTTATACATTCGGCGTCGTGATGTCGTGAAATCAAAGATGAAGTGAATTTCAGAACCATTTGTGGCAGTCTGGCAATCGAAGCGGTGACGGATTTGCGAAATGTATTCCACAAATACAGTTCATGGAAGAGTCGCATCGCGACAATTCCTTGAACGTTGATACTAGAAATGCGTATTTTGCGCAAAATGGTATTCTCTCTTCTCTCTCTTTAATTTCAAAAAGAACTTTAGATAAAATTTATCCATCCAGATGTGTAAAGAGGCAAAAAATATGTATGAATTCTTTGATAAACGAGAATGGTGAATATACGCATAGGGGAATAAAATAGCATACATACATATATTTCTTCTAAAAAGATTTAAATTCCAGAACCACAATGGAAAGATTTTATATTACAAGGGCGTTGCACGTATATCCGGAGTAATATATGAGCCTCTTATTTTAAACAAAATGTAAGTTCAGTTATGTTGGCAACGTGATAGCAAGATGTTAAAATTTTAAAATAACACACTATAGAAATGACACGATACAATTAATCAATCTGAGCAAGAAATTAAATTATTTGCAACATAAACGACTAAGATATTTGAACAGCTATTAATTTAGTCTTTCGGTTATCTGAGAGAAAATGTTAATAGAGAGAAGTTTTGATTAAAAAAAAGAAATGTAGTGGATAATTCTTTATGAAAAAGTATTAAAATATGCATATCAAGAGAACTCCAGAAATTAAACAGAATTAATACATTAGTTATCTGAATAATTAAAAAAAATATTGTCAGAGTTATACGATAACAGTACTTTGCATTATATTTTTGAATGGGGAATAACGAAAAATCGTTATTCCGTCCAACGATAAGCGATTTCAATGAAGTGATTTCGTAATAAATCCTTTTCACCACGTGAAACATTGCCGCGCGCAAGTGCACGCAGCAGAAATCGGAATTTGTATCGTACGATACGCCGCTTTCATACAGCACAGGAAGATTTGGATTCAGAGCGGAAATTCGAGGTACTCTTACGCTGTTCCCACATGAAGCTTACGTTATGTTTTTCGCGAGAAAGGTTGGCGGAAACTGGGAGGCGAGAGAGCAATCCGGTGTTGGAATTTAAATCGAATCGTCTTGTTCCGACAGCACTGAATTTCTCAGATTTAATCTTCAGACAAATGTGACACAGGAAGATAAAAACGAGAACTGGCACGGCAAATGATCTCTCGCGGAGTGAACGATAGCAAACGCTTGGGGAGAGAACATCTGTGTATTTGTATTATAACTTCGGTAATTCCATTGGGAGTTTTTATGACAGCTCAAAATTAAAAAAAAAAAAAGGGAAACATGATCGCGTCGTTGCAGAGAATTCTAGGCAAATGTTTCTCCGAGTGTTTTATCGATCAGAAAAATTTACGACTTAAATTATTAAGCTGTAACGGTTCCACCGGCGCAGCTTATCTCGCCTCATAATTATTAACCACGATAAGAATCGTCATACATAGCATAAAATGGAGCAGTAGATTTTGTAGTGTCCAATGTTGGGGAGCTTCGGAATCTTTTTCTTCATCGCAATTAACAATATTGTTTCAGAGAATTTTAGATATTCCAAATAAATATTCGCGACATCTCTTCTTTTGAAAATTGCGTGGCGGATGATCACGGGAACAAAGAAGCTCGAAATTTAATCTAGATGAGACGAGGGCTGCTTCCGCACTTCTCTATCTGTCTGCTCTTCCGTGTTATGTACTTCCGAAGCAAAGGGGTCGGTTTGACCGAGCGTAAATAGGGTCAACGGCAAGGCAACATCCGTTCGACCCTCTGTCTCATTCCGGATGATGGTCTAGGGGAGATGAAGACCGAATCGTGGATGTCTGCGCTGCCTCCTCTTTCGAGATATTGGATCTGTGCAAGGGATGAAAGGCATTCCTCGCGGAATGCTCCCGTTATCCGTCGGACAGGCAGCATGCACGTCGGTCTCTGTTTCCTGATGAAAGGCCGGACTGCTGGATTTCTCGTCGATGCGTTTCATCGATAGTGATCCCGCAGGAATCTATTACACGCTCGCAAATTGAACGGGGATATTCGGCAGTTTATGAATGATTCTGTAAAGACCGAGAAATGTTTCCGTATAATTGTCTCTTCTTAATAAATCGTAATTTGGAGTAATTCTGCTTCAGAGGTCGCACGCGATATAAATAAAATGTAAGCCGGTTAGAATATCATGAAAAATTTTTTTTTTTTTACTTATTTCCCCTATAAATCGATGATAAAACATCTCGAAAGATTTAAAAAGGCAATTTTAGTCCTACTTTATTTTTATACGTTGGAGTTTATAAAAAAATGAGTAATCATAGATTTTTCGATATTCTAGCGTTGCAGGATGAGCGAGAGAGGATTTTGCATAATCAGATTAATTTATGCGACATCCCGCATAAAATCTTGTCTTTTTTAAACTGGTCGCGGCGAAAAGAAAATGTGATTACGTTAAATAGAATCTATGGAATTTTCATAGCACACTTTTAATCAATGTATGTAATGCCTATGAGATGTACATATTTGATAATCGAACATATATTTTATTGAGAAATTTATTGTTTTAAATGTTTTCTCACTTTTGAAATAAAATCAATTATTAATATATTTATTATAATTTTTAATTTTATTTGACAGTATGTGCACAAATAAGGAATATTTTAATACTTCATTTTTCTCCATAACTTATATCACTATTTTTCATTTAAAAACTCGTATATCGAGTTATTTATTTCTATTGGAGTACATATTATGAAATTGCGTCGATAGATTTCAATAGGATTTCCAATGAATGGCTTCTGTTATGATTAATTAGCATTGAGTATATGATAAAATTTTTTCCCGAGCAATAAATTCACAATGCTTATTAAGGATGTGCTAATGACGTAACCATGAAATGTGACCAGAACCAATTTGTTCAATTTTCGTCGTGCAATCACGTTCTATCGTTTGACTGTTTCAACATTCACCGCAATACATTTTGTTCCATTTTGTTTGAGTGCAACGAAACGTTTAAACAAAATCTCGATTAACATGAGGTTAAGCGTAGTCATATTGTGGTTACAGCTGCCTCTACATTGAATTATTGTTAAACCAAATTTTGGATAACTAAAACAAAATTTGTAATAAAAATCCTATTTTATTTGAATTTAATGTTGTCGAAAATCTAAATTGCTATTCAATATTTTCTACGTTTCTCCATAAAAAAATACACTTTTGCAATAACGAACAAATAAATTAAAAATAAATATATATTGTGTAGGCCTTGTGTGCATTGAACAATGAATAAATTTGCATTATCATAAAAATAAATTAATAAATATAATGAATAGATTATGATAAAAATAAATTAAAAATTGTTATTTGTTTAATAAATTAACTGAGATAATTTATGATGATAAATTTGTAACATACGCTAAAGCATGATCTTGTTGCAATGCAGCTCGAATGAATCAG